TTGCAGCTATTCACAGGTATCCACAACGCCTCGTATTTTCATGTACTTTCTATGAGTCCCTCGCTTCCAAATAGTGCCTCAGTGTATTTTTCTTTCTTGAGGTTTCTTCTGTCACCCAATTAGATTTCATTCATTTGATTATTGATCTTTTTTCCCCCCTTTTTTTAGTGTGTTTGTATATTTTTATTTCCTCTGACTCTAATTTCTGTTTTACTTTGTTCCACTGGTTTTTATGATGATGTGGGGGACAGAGGCTCAATGTGATACCTTCTGATCGGCACTGCTCTTGCTGGCAAGAAATGCAGTGTTTCAGGGTATTTATAAGAGTTGGGTTAGAGCAGCCATGGGCCAGTCCAGGGTGAGGAATGCCGTGTTCTGTGGACTTACGATGGACGGCTTAGCTCTAGAGGACTCCTTCTTTCTAAGAGTGCATTATTTTTATTATTATTATATTCATTTTACAGAAAGACTAGGATTTTATAGTATAATTTCTTTGGCTACTTATATGTTTCAATAAGAGTACGTCTTTTTTAAGCAGGAGCAAAAGGAAAAAATTTGCTTGTTACTGTATGCTGTTAGTGCCATCTACTGGCATTGGAAATCATTAGGTTTAAAAAAAAATACAGAGTAAATTTCTCAAAATAATTGCCTGACTGTTATGCTTTTTACATGTGGTCACCTTGAAGAGTAAATATGATTTAACACTAAAATTTTATGTATTGCCTCATTTTTATGGTTGTAAATAGACAAGTACTCTCACAACGGTGTCATTGTAAAAATTGATAAGATTGTACATGCGCAAATATTTTAAGCCATAATTCTGTGTAAACCCTTCACTTCCTTCCAAACTTCCTTACCACAGTATTTTCAGATAACTCTTATGAATGCCTGATGATTCCAAAGCCTTATATTGCCCTGAATCAAGGTTCTTTTTTCTCCTCCTGAAAAAAAAAAAATCCTGTAAAATCATTGACTGTGTGAAATTGACTGTGTGAATAACTTTGTGTCAGGACTGTTTTCCCAATTCTTGGAATTTAACTGGAAAAACCGTTGCATGAGATGAAAAGCATAGGGCTGTCCCTACCTGAAATTCCTCATGCAACATATAGACACCTAACTTACGGTGAGGGGAACCAAGCTGGTGAATTAAGGTATTATAGTCAAGAAATGTGTCCTTTACCGCTTGGCTGTAGCATTGGTATCATATCCCAAAGGCCCCAACGACTGCCCCTTTATCATTGTCTGACTGGTCTCTTAGATCTCATTAGAAATAAAAAGGTAGCTAGTGATCAAGTTGTTTCTCAAAACAGGGAGATGAAAAAAATGCTGCGTCCTTTGAAACCAACTTTAGTGACATTTCTAGAGGTTTACACAGCTGTTTCTGACTCTAACCATGCTAGACACATAATAAGCACTCAATAAATATTTTCTGAATAAAATGAAACTAATTGGTATGTAACTGTTAGGAACTTCTTCCAAGACTCATGTCTTTCATTTAGTCTGGAATGCTCTGGGCTGCTAAACACACAGGCATATGTATTTCTAATAGCCGTCCACAGAGAAGATGTACTGCTTGGTTGTTCTGTGTTCTACGTACTGGTCTCAGTGAGAAACCCAGCTGTTGTGGGGCCAAATTACTACTTGCTTTTCCTAAAAATGTGCCGAATACTTCTATATTTTGTTTTGGCAACCTTCTCGGGGCACTGAAAAGTGTGTGGTTTCTCCTACTAGGGAATTATATCTACTGCAGATGTAGAAATCAGTGGCCTGTGTTAGTGTGTGGACGCGTGATAGCATTAAAGGCTGAGGAGGGTAGGACTGCAAAGAGAGAGCAAAGACACGTGTTTTTTATTTTAGCATTGANAGTTACATTCACCTGATATCTTTACTTTTATTTACTATTGAAGGTTATACTCTGGAAACTCACAATGATTATTTCTGAACTTCCTATTAGTCTTTTGGCCACAATGAGTTTATCCTAGCAATAGTGATATATCTGTTATAGCACTTTTATATGCATTTCAGTTTTAGGTGCTCTAGACACTGGTTTGTTTTGTTGTTGTTTTTTTCCCCAACACCCCTGCTCATTCTCTTTACCAGGCATTTTCTCTTTTACTGCCATCCAATTCTACAGTATGTGTGCTCTACCTTCCAGACTATAGCAACAATGGGACAAGAATAGCAGTGCTTTGCCTCTGCTCTAGGTAGCTCCAGTGACCCAGATGACACATAGGCGCTTGTTTTATCCCTTAACATAGGTGTTTATTAACAAACAAAGACAAGATTGCATCTGTAGGATTTGTGAAGTCTGTCTTTGGTTCATGTCCCTCCTTGCTGCTGCTTTTAGTGGCCCGGTCCTCTTGTATCCATTCTTTTAGACTATGTTTTTCTCCTTTAGGTGACTGCTAACTAATTTGAGAAACAAGTATGTATGTGTATGGTCAGTAGATGCTTAATGAGCTAATTTCTTACAGCACTCAGGTAACATTTGCATTTTAACTGATCTTTTAGGAGATGTGCCTTAACCAAAAGGGACTTTAGAGACAGGCCCTTTGAAAGATAAGGCTGATATTTCGAGGTAAGGCTACATTTTAAGTGGCTTTCCAACCAAAATAGGTGGGTTTGGAATGGCTTTGTTCAAGGAGTGTAAAAATAGTTTTGCCCAGATAAAGATACACATTCACATAAGTATTCAATATGAATTATCTATATATGTACAGAATATGAGTTCTAGAATCTCATAATTATGAACGTCTATCATTTTTATTGCTGAGCCAACCAGTGTGGGGCAATCACTCATTGCCTCTTCGACCTTACTGGGATGACCTGGTCAACTTGGTAAATCATATCTTCTGTAATTTTAATATTTTTTAAATGAATGTTTGAATCCCTGGAGCTCATGTTTATTTTTTGCGTGTAACATGGAACCACTACTAATGCTGAAGAAAAGAAAATAGCTTTCCCCATGTCATCTGTGTTGTGATTGTTGCCATATATGAGACAGTTGATGGCATTGCACAGTCAATGACATGACCTGGATCACAGCTGGAGGTCACCTGAGACAGCTGTATGTAAGTTAGAGCTAGTTTAAAAAAAAAAAAATAGACAATTTCTCTAGTTTTATAGAAAGACTAGTTGGAAGAATTGGTGGATAGAATGAGGGAAAATAATATTTGAATACACTAAAATTTAGGGAAAAAATTGGATCATATATTGGGTTGTCGGAAAAAGTCATGATGTTTTTCATTGCAAAAATGCGTCATGACTTTTCCGACAACCCAATATTTTCCTCATTCATTTTATGACTTCTGGTTGACATTGACCTTTCTCATAATATTTTGTACTTATAAGGTGTGTAGTTTAGAAATTTTGTGCTACCTAACTATTGAGTACCAAAAATAGATATTTCACATTTTCTTTAAAAATTAGTCTTCTCTAGATATAAAGCATAGGGTAGTATGGCTGAGTCAAATAAATTAGATTAAAAAAGGAAATGATTATCTGAAGGAAAGACATTCACTAGGAAATATGTACCCTGTCCACTAGACACTGCTCAAGCTGCCAGGGTTTTTGATTTTTAAAAATCTAACCACAGGTATTTCCAGAATTTTAGTTATATTATGCTTAAGTATATGCAATGTTTACTTCAAATTCCATAAATAGTGCACTCTACAGACGAGCCAATATTCAACACTTTAAAATCAAGGTATGATATTTACTGTTTACACTTAAAGCATAGTTGATGACTCATAATTTGTTGCCTTTCATTTAAATGAATCGGACAAAATTTCAAATTTTTCTCTAATCTTATTGTCTTAAACATATGTAGAAATATATTTGAATATCCTATTGTGAGGGTTCATCTTTTAGAATCAGATAGGATTATTTTGTTGGTATATAATTATATTTGACTACTGAATAGTTTGGACACTCCTAGAACTTATCTCAATATGTGTTCCCCAAGCAGAAAAAGCTTCATTTAAAGGAATTCCCATCTGAATAATTTTTGATAGTTTGTACTAAGAACACTACTGAAGACCTGACAAGACTTTTAGAAAATTCATATAATAAACCTTAAATAAACTAATGTGTAGATTTCTATCATTTTTTATTACATGTTTTTTTTAAATGGAAATCCCTTGTATTATATAATAAGTGAAAGAAAAAAATGTACATAATTATTTCTTTACATTATATTTTAAAGTCAGATAAATCCCATCAAGATTTTAGCAGCACTTGAGTGGTATATATTTGTTTGTAGTTATCTTTTTGTAGTCTTGTTTTTGTTCTTGAATTCTAACCAAAATAGCATTTGTCTGCATCTGTAATATTTTGACACTTTCTACTGTGAGACTATTGGAAGATCTGTTTTAGGAATAGAATTTTGGTGGTCCCTGTGTTAAACGACATATGAGTTTTTCATGTATTTTTAAAGGTCTTCAGAAAAATATTTTGTTAAGAAATACTGGGCTGTGTCGATGGTGAAGAAATGTCTATATTCCCCTTTTCAGAGGCCTAGAATGTTTCCCATTCAAAGTTGTTACCCGAAAGAATCAGGAGTTTGTTTATGACACTTAAAAACATAAAAATATACCACTGACCCCATGCAAAAACTACTACAGTTTTGAAAGGAAAAAGATGAAAACCCAGTGTTGAATAGAATAAGGTATCTTGAATGCTTGGAATCAAACTGGTGCAAACTGATGTAGCCATACAAGTCAGCCTCCCACTTTGAATAGCAAATGGCAAAATTTGTATCTTTTGTTTTTCTTTCCACAAAGTGGATTTGTCTTCCGCTCCTGTGCTTTTGCCTACTTTCCCTCTTTCTGAGGGAGAACCTCGTGTGTAATACGTGTGAATGTGTGTGTGTCTTAAGTGAGTGGGTACTTGGCAGAGGGTAGGGGGAAGGAAATAGATCCTGTTGGCTAAAGATACAAGTACAAAAATGGTTCTCCATCATCACAGTGAGAGAAAGGGCTTTATGCTTNAATTGCCTTTACCTTTCTCGTTTTTGCCTTCGATGTAGCTGTTCAGCCTGGCAAAGCCAGTCTGGATGGCGGAATCCCAGTCCATTGACTCAATGCAGGTGCTGACCCATTTGGCTGGTCCATAGTGTCGGATCTCGTAACTTGCGAGCTAAAATGGAACAGAGAAAACTTGAGGAAGCGATTCTGAAAAAGGCAGGACGTGAGAGGCAACAGTTACAGGTCCTTGATTTCGGGTCCACTTGGGTTAGACTCCAGGTTCTGACTCCTTAGGGCCGGGCAGGGCCTCTCATCCGCGGCTCCCATCCTTGAATTAGAGACGCTGGCGGCCTCGGACCCACAAGTGGGGGGCGGGGTCAATTCATTTCCGTTAGGAACAAGCATCTCTCACGTCCCCTCGGCCCGGAGGGTCCCACCGTGGGTTCTGGGACGTGATCGATTCCTTTTTAATCCCCTCCCCCTCCCCCAACACAAGAAATTGAGATGTGGCCAGTACCTGGGCTTGTGGCTAACCCACCGGATTTTCCCGTTTGTGCAGGAATGGAGTTAGGGGCTCAGGCCATTTTAAAATTGTACTTTTCACTTAAATCTAGGGGACCCTCCGGGCTCATTGCAAACCAGCTCGGAGACAGCCTCCTCCCACCCCCAAACCTCCCACCTCGGCGCACGCGCCCTTTGCTTCCGCGGAAAGCTCCTACCTGGGGGTCCGCGTCTCCGAGCGCGTTCCAGTCCGGCGTCTCCACGGCTTGGGCCGCCTCGCCCTCACCTGTGCCGGGCTCTGGCTCGAGCACCTCGGCCATTGGAGGTGCCGATGATCTGGGGATAGAGCCTGGCGAGCGGCTCTGGGAAGGGGCCGCACCGGGGCCACTCGGAGCCGCCCGGCCTGCGTGTGCGCGCGGCACCTGCCCGCCGAGGTCNAAAAAAAAAAAAAAAAAAAAAAAAGCCTGGGCCAATCTGTGTTGCACAGTTAAGCCCACTTTTTGGTAATTTGGCCATTTGCCAAAGAGACCATATTTCAGGCTCTACTGTCCATCTGGTGGGAGCTTGTCTAATTTCCAGACAGGACCTAGTAGTGTCTGCAACCCAGGTCTCACAGCATCCGAAACCTACAGAACAACTGCTGGTGTGGCAGGTGAGCTCCGTCTTGAAATGAAGCAATTTGACACGAGGAGTTGTGGTTTCTTAAGTTTCGCTTGTGACTCTCCATTCCTTCCAGGACCAGAGTATGGGCTGTTGACCAAATAACAGATTTAAAAACTGCATTGAAGTTCTGAAAGCAAGGCAGCTTTAAACTCAGTGTTTAAAGAAATAATTTGCCCTGTGCTGAGTGATTCTGTTCTCAACACAGGAGCCCGAGTTGCTCAAAATCTCCAGCCACTAAGTGACAGAACCAGGCTCCTGATACTGTTTTTACCTCCAGAGTGCAGGTTCCACCCACTATGCTGACTGCTGGCCTTTAGGGATTTTCAAAACGTTTTGTTCTCATTTAGAGATATAAATGGAGATTTTAATTTTAGATCAGCAAACCCAGTAATGGATTGCAGATATTGCCCAGTTGTTATTTTACACTGTTGAACAGAGACTTTGGAGTCAGCTCTGGGTTCTAATTTCAGTTGCCCACTTGTGAACGTCCCAAAAGTAACGTTACTTGACTCCATTTCCTTATTCATAAAACGAAGGTAGTGCTGTGTAAATTAAATGAGGCACCAAATTCCTATAACGCCTGTAACCCAGGGCAAGGCATGTAGAAATCAGTTACTAGATGGTGACCCCCTTTTAAGCTAAAATTCTGAAATAGCTCTCTACAATTCTGATTTATAGCCTCCTGGAACTTACTTTCTCATGGGAGAGACAAACAAGATGAGTAACTAAAATATAGGTAGAGTAGTGATCTGTACTGAAGAGAACACAGAAAGCAGATTAGGGGGAGATAACATATTGGGAAGGAGTTGAAATTTTAGGTAGGGTGAGCATGCAAGACCTCAACAAGCAAGGGACTGTTGACTGAACTCCTGAAGTATAGGAAGGTTCTCCCTGTGTGGATGTGTAAGGGAAGAGCATTTCTGTTGGTATGAACAGCAATTGCAAAGACCCTGAGGCAGGAGTGTGCATGATATGTACAAGGAACTGCATAGAGGGTGGTATGGCTGGGGTGGAATAAACGGGATAGAGCAGTAGGAGATGAGGCCATTGTTATCAGTGGGCTAGGTTGTAGATCATGTAGGGTTTCATAGATCGTGGTAAGAACATTGGAGGGTTTGAGCAGAGGAGCAACATGACTTGGCTTACATTTTAAAAGGATCTCTCTGGCTGCTGTGCTGAGAAATACACTGGTGGAGGGGGCGGACTAAGGGAGAGTACTCAAAAGGGCAGAAGCAGGGAGACCAGTTAAGAGGCTAACAGAATAATCCAGAGCACTACAATATCTGTCTTCAGGGAGTAACTAGGATGTGTTCTGCCGTTGAGGAGCAGGAGTTTTCTCCTGTGTCTCCTCTGTGGTTATAAATACTTGGTGGGATGGGAGTCAGATCATTCTGGAAGTCATACCATTCTGTGTGTTGTTTTTTTCCCTTGAGTAGATTGTGGCACTGTATAACAGTTACCTTGCCTATAACTTGATCTGTGCCCTGCTTGCCTGGGAAATTTTCTTGCAAATGAAGGGAGCACTTTATAAAATAGATGCTCTTTGTCAGTCATCATACTGGAGCTGTCCCTGGTGAGCATCCCATGGCAACGAGGCTAACTGAAGTACTGTTTCATTGTGATAATTATCGATTCTGACAACTAAAAGAAAAGTAGGTTACTAGGGCTGATGAGCACCACCGAGACGCATGAAAACCATAGAACAGTGCTGCTTCGTCTCCCTCGGCAGACGTCACAAGGAAAAGGGAACCCTCTCTGCAGGATGTCACTATTCTATTTATTCTTCATCCAGCTGAAGCTTTGCTTTTCTTCCTTTTAAAACTTTTTAGTTAGGGTTTACTTCATATGGCCTTTGAAATTTGTGCCATATTTCAAGGTTGCCTGAAAAATGATTTTTGTGTGAATATGTCAGAAAACTGGAGTGACCTTTCAATTTACTAGATTAAGATTCAGCCTCAAACATGTGACCTTTATACAAATTGTCATGAAATTCTCAAATACAATTAGTTTTCATTTATATGGTGTGTGTGTGTGCGCGTGTGTGTGTGTGCGTGTGTGTGTGTGTGTGTGTGTGTGTGTGTGTGTGTGTGTGTGTGTGTAATGTAAGGGTAGAGAATATGTTTTATAAATCAAGCTTAATAAGAGTGTCACAACTACAAAAGAAGCAAGAAAAATTGATTATATAAGTATGGCTTAGCTGCTGCTGCTGACTCAAAAATTCCTTTGATTGTCTCAGGGATTTGTAGGTGTGTAACCAGTATCGGATCAAACATGAATGGATATGGTGTAATCTAGCATCATAATAAGATGTCAGTAACATATGCTCATTATAAACTGAGCATGTTATTAATTACAGACATTATTTTATATTTTCCTTTGGTGAAAAAGAAACTAGATTATCATTTTACATGTTTTATGTATTAAGAATATAAAGTTTAAAATACTCAGATGTCTAATTATATGCTTTTATTTTATATTTTTACTTCCANTTTCATATAAATGGAATTATACAATACGTGATCTTTTGTGACTGGCTTCTTTCACTTAGTGTAATGTTTTCGAGAGTCATCTATGTTGTAGCTTGGATCAGAACTTCATTCCTTTTTCCTGCCGAGCGATATCCCTTTGTATGGCCCTTCCCCTCCCCTGCCCAAATAGTGTAGTGGGCTGCGACACATGACACTTTCTAGTGTCTATATCTACTCTATTATTATGCAGAGCTAACTTTGAATTATTTAGCAAAGGCTAAATAATGAATCTTGACTTAAACAATAGCCTGTTTATTTTAACTTAAGCCATGGATGTGACCCATTGCTTAGACGACTGAAAAATTGATAATGTAATTTTACATTACAGAGTGGTTTTTTTTTAAGAGGAAAAGGAAATAACTTACATTCTTATTTAAGAACTCTGTTGTTCTTTTCATCAGCAGAGTACGTTTTACAGTTATTAGTGCCTTTTGGGGGGCATTTTACTTATAGAAAAACTGAGCCTAAACTTGGAGACATTCATTTTATACGGTGTAGAATATACAATTAATGAAGATAACAGCAACTGACTGAGCCACATGATCTATATTTAAAAGGTGATAATTAGTCATATAAAAAACAGAAGGAAGGAAAGAGAAGGATTTATTTCAAAATAATAGGATTTGAGTTAGAACAAATTTAATTAGAAGGCTGGAGTTTTATTCCCATATGTCAAAATAATCTAGCTAGTTTTCTTGTTGATTAATTATGGTAACATTGTTCTTTCTATTAGCTCATATTTAATCAATGTTTCTGTGACACTATGAAGAAGGTGTTTTATATAAGGTTTACAGTACGTGTGATGGTGCAGCATGGCGCCACCTGCACGTTCACCCCAGCAGAAGAGGGCATCCCCGAGAGCCCCGCAACAGCAATGACAGGCTGTTCTCATTACGTGCAGCAGCTAAGTTCTACAAAGTCACCACAAACATTGAATTAGTGAATGTTGAACTGTTGCTTCTAGAGGAAATACAGAGTTAGGTTGCTTGGAGCCTCTGGCCACAACCTTTTCATCAACCAATTGATACATAAGCTTGTTTTATGTGTGTTATTGTATAAAGATACCTTATTTAATATGTATTGTTGATTCATTAACATTGCACTCACAGCCCATGACGCTGTAACTCATACCTTAGTGAAGCTTATCTAACACACGTATCTTCTTCAAAAGGCACAGCACAGCATTCCTGCACTTAGTCACACTAGACAGCACGTCAGCACTATGCTTGGGGCTGTTTTAAACAGCAAAATCACCAACGAGAAGCACAAAAATGCAGACAACATGGCACTAAATAGACTTCAAAAGGACACTTTTTTACTGTATGAGAGCTAAAACTAGAAAGCAGAGCTTTGTCTTCTTCAATCTCAGCTGGAAATATGTGCGTCTAGTGTCTCCAATGTTTCACTGCTCTACGTATGCACATGTCCACCACCATCAGGAAAGTGCTGTGAGTACTGCTTTGGGCATTATAAACATATATTAGCAAGTAGGTGAGTTTGCAAATACAGAGCCTGTGAACACGAGGATGACCTGTGAGTGCTTCCTGCAACAATGTACATAAGTCACTTCCACCCACATTCCACTGACCAAAGCAAATCATAGGGCCTTAAGGGTGGGAAAGTGCAATCACGCTGTTTTCAAAGAAGAACTCAAATAATTGAGAGAAGCACTAACATCTATTGCTGATATCATTTCATCATTTATTGATTGTTTGATACTTGTGGCAGATTTTATTTCCCAAAGATAGTTGCAATAGTATCTCCCATCCAACATGCTCCTCTTATGTGACTTTGACACGCTTTCTGCTGAGAGGTGAAAATCTATGCTCCCTTCCCTTGAAACTCGCCAGGTTTGTGACTATGGTAGAAGTAACACTGTGTCACTTCTGAGGCTAGGTCATTAAACACTTCTGCCTAGTTCCCTTTGGGACACTTACTCTTAAAATCCAACAACCATGCTGAAGGGAAGCCCAAACAGCTCCACAGAGAGCGGTGTATAGGTTCCTAGCTGAGGTCCTGCCTGACTGGCATCAACCACCACACATGTGAGTGACCAAGGGTTCAGACAACTCCAGCTGCCTTGCCACTGAGTCACCTCCAGATATCCTCCATTCTTCCAAGCTGAGGCCCCCAGAGGCCACGGAGCAGACACAAGCTATCCCCACAGAATCCATGAGTATATAACAAAATGGTTCTTTTCTTACTGCCACTAACTTTGGGGTGATGAGTTTTTTCAGGAA